CCAAAAACATTCAGCTTTGATATTAATGAGTTTTTTGGGTTCATTGAGAACATGGTTGTTGTTCAATAATAAAATTATTCCTCAAAAATACAACTTGCCTAATAATTCTGCACTCCCTATAAATGCACAGCTGATGCTCAAACCATCTAGAGTTACACACACACTCCTGAGATAAACATAGATCTCAAGCCCTCCTGACACACTTCCACGCAATATGTTTAAAGTTGTGCGGTAAGTCTCTGCAATGAGACAAAACCAACAAAATAAACAGGTCAATTGTTCTCTATATGGGGCATGAATCAGCTGGTGTTTTTAATGATGTCTTTGAACTGTTCTTTTTCCCAGGTGGAATGATTTTTTAGCATATATCTTTCATGACCAAATACTAAAAACAAGAATTGGGTGCAAAAGTTTGAATTTATTTTGGATTTTCTCTCAAAATTATATATACAGGATCAAATATATAGAACCCCACTAATAATTGGTCACATGGCCCTTTGCACGTTGCAACTCAACCAAATGCTTTTGTTAGCCATCGACAAACTTGGCATAATTCTGGCTGGATATTTCATCATTCTTCTTGGTAGAATTGGTAAAGTTGACTTAAACAGGTTGGTTTCCTGGCACAGATCCAGCAAATTTTCAATAGGGTTGAGGTTGCGGCTTTAGAAAATCCACTCCAGAAGCTTGATGTTACTCTGATTTATCCATTCCAAACTTCATTTTCATGTGTGTTTGGGATTATTGTCCTGATGGAACATCCAAATTGTGTCCAAGCTTTAACCGTCTAGCTGTCGATTTGAGGTGAAGTTTAAGAATTTTGAGGTAGCCCTCATCCATTTCCATTTTGTGCAATGTAGCAATGCGACTGGTGGCAAAACTGCACCCAAGCATGATGCTATCACCACAGTGCTTAAAAGCTGGTAGAATTCTTATTTTGCAAAGCCTCACCTTTACTTCTCCAAACGTATACCTCTATTCAGTACATGTGAATAGTACTCATTGATCAATGGTCATGACAATTTGCTTATTAATGATCATGAAACTGACTTCATGGCCCATTGTTAGTCAGTGGTGCTAGTTTCAGTCGTTACGCAAACGTACTGCTTATAAGGTTGGGGAAGCCTGCAGTCAGCTGAGACTGAAGAAGTCACTTGGATGGGTGACGAAACGTTTCTCCCAATCTATCTAGCAATCAAATCCTTTTTATGCTGACAAAGAGAAACTACCAGTTGTAGTCAATCATGATCATTAACAAGAAGTTAATAGGCCTAGAACCCTAACTGAATATACAGGGAGGGCCATTTATATGGATACACCGTAATAAAATGGGAATGGTTGGTGATATTAAAGTCCTGTTTGTGGCACATTAGTATATGTGAAAGGGCAAACTCCTCAAGATGGGTGGTGACCATAGTGGCCATTTAGAAGTCGGCCATCTTGGATACAACTTTTGTTTTTTTCAATAGGAAGAGGGCCATGTGACACATCAAACTTATTGGTAATGTCACAAGAAAAACAATGGTGTGCTTGGTTTCAACGTAACGTATCCATATAAATGGCCCTCCCTGTACTCTTCAAAACCCACAGCTCATGTAGACAGTGTACCAAACCAACAGTGAGTGGTGTTTAAAAAAAAAAAAAAAAAAAAATCTGTAGAAGTTAGTTTCACACTGACCATCCTGACAGCTCTGAAAAGACTGATCTAGATGCAAGAAAACAGAAAACACACACACAAAAGAAAACTGCACAGTTAGAAAGACTTAAAAATCGCAGGCACACAGATAGTGTCACGAGCCACTCAATTCACATTACCATTCATTTTATGAGTAAAAACCCCCCAGAATGTTTTGCAAATAGGAAATGGCTTTCAATCTTACTTTCATGCCTGCTTTCAATGAATTCCTAAGCACAAAGTGATGACTAGCAACAGCTCAGGGATGGCTTCTCATACTCAGAGGTCTATGAGGTTAACCCCGCGTCAAAACCAAGCTGTCAGCACTCATAAGCGAACGGGCGGGCTGTGCTCGCAGGAGTAAACAGAGCTTACGTCAGAAGAAGTCAGTTGATCGTGGAAGGAATACAGAAGCCTTTGCTTAGCTCGCTCTTCTGCATGTCCCTGGGCATAATTTCAGCAGCTGTTGATAAGAAAGCAATAAAGCCAGCACGAGATTCTGTGAATTTATTCAACAACAATCTAACATGAGGCGAAAGCTTAGTCTTTGCTTGGAAAATTACTCGAGACACACACACTGACGCAGCATCTCACATTGACTCTGACTGGTGAGGGCTCTGAAGGGGAAATGTCATTGTTAGTCAAAAATTGGTGTTACCATAGAAATCACATGTTGTTCTGGTTCAGCAGTGAGTTCAGAAAACTAAGTGTGTTTTTTATTTAGTAATCTTTAGAAAGGCATACACAAATATAGCACTAAACCAGAATATATATTGTATATTAGTTTAGGGAAATGCAATCCAAAGCAAAAATAAATAAATAAAACAAATGAGCTGCTCAGTGCTGTTTCTTGCACAGTATAATGAGGACAATTTCTATAACAGAGGTCAAGCATTTATCTATAATGATAAGGTGAAAGTGTGCTGACAGAAAATTGAAATGTTTTATTAACAAACATGCATAAATCCTTAATTCTGGGCTTTGTAAAAGCCACTTTGGCAGAGCTTTATGGATAAGTTTCTGCAGGCTTTAAATACCTGGATTTAGCCAGTTTACCCAGATCTCCCAGGCATAACCTACTCCTATCAAGGTTTGTCAGATAGGATGAAAAGCATCTGTGAATTGCCACCTCTAAGTCTTTGCAGTTTAATGGCTTTTTTTGTTTTCCTGATAAGACCAGAAAATTATTTTTTCTTCTACCCAAACTCTAGGCAGGCCATCGGTGATGTTTACTCAAGAGTGGCTTCAGTTCATCCATTCTACCATAAAAGCCTGATTTTTGGAGTGCTGCTGAGACAGTCGTCCTCTGGTCCCTGTAGAAGGCTTCATTTCCCCCCCCCCCCTCCTTTATTTAACCAGAAAGTCCACCAGAACCTCCCCAGCATAGGCATAGGGAGCATGAGAGCAGGGGAACCCCACACCCTTGTGTGAACCCCTGTGTAACTAACCACCAGATATCCAATTTCAGGCGTGCTGAAGGTTCCAAACTTCTTTCACGTCACCTTCACCCCATTGTGCTCCTTTAAGATTTCAATGCTATAGAATGCTTTCTATTAGTACCTACACATTTAATGATGCCCTACAAAAGTTTAAGCTAAAAAGAGAATTTATTAGACATCGAGGTCTGATTTTATAAATGTCTGACGAGCCTCTGTTAGTGTTGGCCACCTCCACACAGTTTAGTTTGCTACTAGGTTTTTCTTGATACATAGAGGATAAAGAAAAAGAAAAATGGCATCAGTATTCCCATCGTTTCCCATTACATCTCAATGATAATTGGAGAAAACGTAATGGACCCCAGTCAATGTTGCATGAATTAATTTATAGAAGACTGCAGTGTTCAAGTTTCTGTGTAATAATTTTGTACTTTATATCCATTATGTAATAGTATTATTTTTTTTATTTGTATTTTATTTCTTTTCTTTTTTTTGCTATAGCTCATAAAAGGAATGTTTTATGTCCTTTGTTGGACACTTAAATGCAAAAATCTGTCAATTAAACTTCATGTGGTGTACATACTCTCATCAGCTGAATCAAATGTAAGAAAAAGGTGGAATTATTTTTTGGAGGAAAGAGTGCAGGTTGCACTGATGCTACCTAAAAGACAGCACACAGATAAATGCAAAAACATCACTTAAATACTGTAAAAAATGCACTTCTATCTGTACAACTCAGGTGCTGCTGCTGTGTTCATGTGTTTAAGAATGGATGTGCTGACTGTGAAAAGGAGGAGGTGGTGGAAGGGAGGAGGAGGAGACTCTGCTACTGTAGCAGTGCATCAGCAGAGGTGAGACTATAGCCACCACTACATCACAGTATGCAGACTGGAAAGGGCTGATGGAGTCACTCTCAGTTTAGTTCCTGCAAAGAACACCTTGTGTTTGTTCTGTTTTCACTCGTGGACACACAAGATTTCAAGGACACCTGTGCAGTCGAGGCAGTGCACATGAAGAGACTGACTGTCTTGTTCTTTTGTTTCAAACACTTTTCCCGGCAAACGGTGATGGCTGAAGGGCAGCTAAGTCGGCCAACCTTACCCCAGCTGCCTCACATGCCAGAGGAGACAAACAGACCTACAGTGGGCAGCAGTATGTGTGTCATTAGTGCTGACCCAGATGCTCTGAAACACTGTCCTGTGACCGCGCTGCACTGCATTCCCAGAATAACTCCTTACAGCTCATTACTGGCTGTAATAATGGGGCTTAATAGCCTCTGTCATTGAAATGCAACACAAATAAAATGCCATCAAAGGAACAATGGGGAAGTGAAGTTGAATTGGGAGACAACGTTGAGGATGAGATTGCTCACCCTGAGGAGAAACAGAGCTCTGTGCTCTGTGCAGTGCAATCTGATCAGTGAGACAAAGGCTTCAGGCTCAGGTGAGCGTTACATCACATATGAGCAAACCCCGAGTAGACCAGAATCAACAGCATCCCTAAAATATCATCTCGTGGCAGTGCCGTTTATAAGAGACCTTGTCCAGGGGAGAAAATACTCCCCAATCTCATTCATTGCAGAAGCCCAACAGTGTATCACACTGTAGAGATTTGGATTCATGGCTAAAGGATAGAAGTTTTCTTTTCCTAAAAATGATTTAGAAAGCTGTTGAGCAGACCATAGCTGCATCCACACAGCCCGTGAATCACGCACCCAGCAGCGGATTACAAAACGCTGCCCGTGTTAAACAAAAGATCCATTTTCCACTCAGTATGTTCTCATTCTTCCACAGCAGATGTCACAGCCTAGATGTGAAAAATGTGAACGCATAAAAAATCACACTCTGCCACGGCATGTTGGAGCAGATAGCGCGACGGCGCGTGCTTACCCTCTGCGGCCAAAGAGCACCGGACAAGAAGTAAAAGCACTGCTACAGACAGCAGACAGTTTGCAAGCATCCCCGCTGCTCCGACTCGCAACCTGGTCCTCAAACACCTCCCCTCTCCTCCTGCATCCGTCCGCTGCGGCGAGCACCCACCGGGGTCTGCCCCGCCGGTTCCCGCCACTCTGAGGTGACCTGTCCGCCCACTCCTCAAACCGGGAGCCATATCCAGTGGACAAGTTGCTGAAGTTTCGCTCGTGAATAATACATTGGATCGCTGTGTGAACGGGAAACAGGGCCGTCCCGCGGTCTCGTCGCGTGTCCAGGTCTGGATGGTGGGGGAAGCGGCGCTGAAGGGAAATTAAGAAATGTGCCCTATCGCCCCTCTCCGCTCGGTCCACCCATCATCACTGTGTGGCGCAGGGCGGCGCGCGCACTTTGCCAAAGGTTTGACATTTAGCTGTTGGCGGTGAAGTGCCACATCCAGACCTGGTCCAGGTGGATGGCAGGCATTTACTTGCGCACAGGCAACATTCAGTTATGAAAGAAAGGCCAGCCTACCGCTGATTGCTTGTGGCTGGATGATTTTGAAGTGTGCCACCTTCCTGGCCAAACTGGGCGAATTAACCTCCCTGTTAATTGTAGTGAGAATGGAAGCGAGAGGGCAGGACGACCTCTTCTGGCGGTAACTCGTTAAGAATCAGATTTCTATGTGGAGCTGCTTAAAAGAAAATGATGGTTGGTCTTCTTTGCGCTCTTACATGTTGGGTTGATATTAAAAACGACAATAATCACGTGACACTAGCCTATTAACACGTACATTGTCTTTCTTAATGGTTACCGTAATTAATGCGTGAATACCTAATTGTGCGGATAATGGCTGTTGTACCTCTTGATGTCCACAGGATGGCAGGCCAGACCCAGAAAACACAGCAGGTCGTCAACACCAAAGCCCACTGAACACGATTTTTTTACCAAAAGAACCTCATTTGAACATTAACACGTCTTTCCGGTTGAGGTAATTTAGCAACCATAATCATTTGACATTTTTCAGAATTGTGCTCACTCGCGTTTCTTATTTAAGAATGTGTGGAACAAGCTCCAGGTTTTAATTCGTGACACTTTTCTGCCGTCGATGTTTTTCTGCTTTTGACGCATACACTCCCGTTTTTACCTCCTGTGAGTTTCTACAGATGTCAGCTGTTGATTTTTAATTTTAAATATAATACATTATATTATAAATAAATTATTAAAAATATAGATTTTAAGCATATAGTTGGGACTGGATCAGGTGACCCTGAATCCTCCCCTTTAGTGACGCTGCAGTAGATCGAGGCTGCTGGGAGCTTTCTTCTTATTAACGTTTTATCACTGTGTCATAAGCCATTATTCATCTTTTTTTACTCTTTCACAGTGTCTTTTGTCCGGTCTTCCTCCCCTCATCCCCAACCGGTCGCAGCAGGTGTCTTCCCCTCACAGACCCTGGTTCTGCCGGAGGCATCTTCTTGTCAGAAAAGGGAGTCCTTCCTTCCCAGTGTCACCAAAGTACTTACTCATATGGGCAAATCTGATTGTTGGGTTTCTCTGCACAATATAAAGCCCATTGAGGGAACTGTTGTGATTTGGAGCTTTCAATCACAGCACAAAAATCTTCTTCAGTAGGTGCAGTTTATTGTGTTCAGGTTCAAATTTCAGTTTCATCCGAACATATTCATGTTTGGAGATTAAATGCAACAGATTAACTGACAGAAAACTCATCTTTTGTCTGATTCCAGGTTCTCATGTCTGATAATTGAGCAGTTTTCTCCTGAAACAATTCTAAAGGATAGTCTTTTTGTTTTTGACAATAAATGTCAAGATACTACCTTGCAAACTCTACTTTTCCTGTCACACACTAAAACAAATAGAAATGAGTCCAATCCATCATTTATATTAATGTGCATTAATGTGAATGAACAGACCAAATCAGAAAGAACTGCATCAATAGATTTTTTTTTTTTAATTCAAAGTGAATCTTAACAATAATACACCATAAAGTCTTATTTTGACACTCACCAAAAGAGTCACCTGGAAAACCCGCTTAATGTGACAAAGTAGAGAAGGCTTGGTCACACCTAAATCACTGAGAACTAGAGAGGAAACACTATCGCAAACTGTAAAGAGACATCACATCCATAGAGTTAGTTTTCCCAGTCCTCATACTGTAAATATTGCACAGTGCAATTGCTACATGGCAAACTAGTGTAGCACAAAATTAAAAAAGCAAACGAACCAAAAACAGGAGGAAATAAAAGCCACAAAACAAAACAAAAAAAATCTACAGGTATTAAAACAGTAACAGTTCAGATTTAATTATCAAGTCTAATTGATGAGCAATCCAAACAGATGATTCCATAACTTGCAGTGTGAATTAACTCTGAAATTGATACAGGTGACCAGAAAACTGAAAATAAGAGCTTGAGTAAAACAAATCTCATATTAAAATCAAACAGTTACACAGTAGCACAATTAGACTAATACACACCCTGAATTAAGATCTCTAAAGGATAATACCGCAGCAGAGGATTTTTTTTCCATATCAAAGTCATAACATTAATAGAAGTAATTTTACAAATGACTGTTTTATCTGTTAAATGTTAGATGAATCTTCAAAAAAAAAAAGAAAAAAGAAAAGAAATCAAGGTGTCAATCTTGTGGAAAATTAAAAACAGTTTTAAGATTTCTCTCCTCTTGCATCCATTCTTTTCCTAAACAAGTACGGGAGAGTTTATGCAGGCGCATTGCTGGTGAATACCTTTGAAGGAATCAAAACACAGATTACATTTCACATGCTTATTATTGGGGGAACTATTTCAAGCACTAATCTGCCAAGTCCATGCCTTGTCATCATAAGCTTTCTTTCCCAAAGGGATATTTGAGTATGATCAGTAAAGCATACAAGTCAGACAAAAGCTATTAAAAAAACATACAACCATATCAATGTCAGTGGCGAAATGTGGAGTATTGCACTCATGACTGACAGAGAACATGACAACCTCCTCGACAGAGCTCTTTTCGTCCAGAACCCAGAACAAAAACACCCAGATATACTCTTGCTGGATATAAAGCATAGCTTCTGATTTTTAAAAGGCCAGTGTTGTCAGCCGTGCTCTGGTTACTCCCACTCAGCTTCAGCTTGCATGATAGGAGCGCTGCTCTAGGCAGTCAGCTTCTAGGCAGACAAAGTGAAGCATCTAAGGTGTACATGCAAGGTAATGTAAAGCATGGAGATTATCTAAGAACACTTGGTGGTGCAATGACCGCACAATGTAAAGTATTGCATCTGCTGTTCAGCCAGAGTGACTATCCAAAGACCATTGAGTGAGTGTCATTCAAAGCGCACGCATGTGTGTGTTAATCAGAGAGGTTTTACGTGGCGACTGTGTGAAACAAGCGGAGAACCACCACTACGCTGTTCATGTGTATAAGCTGATCAGAGTCACTGTGATGAAGTCCTACTTTGAGTTGTTTTTATTCTCTGCTTCTTGTTTTTCTTACTTTCCTCTTTAAACTCTTGGTCAAATGTCTGTTAAAAACTTGTCCATTCTACACTGTAGGGAACTGTTACTGAATTCTACGCCTTCCTCAAATAAATCGGGAAGAAATCACCAGCATGAATTCTCACTTTCTGAATCTCAAGGCACATAAACAGTGCTGCTCACACTGTCTCAATTTCAAGAAAGGACATATCACAACGGTAACTGTTTCGCACCGACAAAACATCGTTTTGATATTAGACACTCATAAAGGGGAGAGCGATCTGAACTCAAGGCAGTTTAGAATATCAAACTGTGAAACTGATATCCTAGCCAGATATAACATTGAACAGATAAAAGGGCTGCAATAAATACTTTGATCAAACCAATTTAACAATAAAAACAAATCAGAAAACGTCATTTTAGAACAGAAAAATTGGGCTAAATTTCTCTCTTACAGTCTAATCACCCAAACCCTAACAAGCCTCCCTACCTCTATAAGTGCTTAGTGGCAAGTGCGTTTGTGTGTGACTAGTGGAAACAACACAGAAGTCTTCCAATGGAACACAATGTTTTTGTTTCCCCCCCCGGCATCTCGCAGTGCCCTCATAACCCACGAGAGTACTGGTAGCACACCGTTTACTCACAATAAAAAAGTTAACTCAATCCTGCAAGCTACAGCTTCAGATGTGTACAAAACGTCAATATGAAAACATACAAAAATTAAGTTACATCGATACATCATTTATATGCAGTGACGAGCCCAAAAGGTTAATAAGGATAAAATACTGATGCAAAAAACACGCACCCCGAGAAACGACAAATGCAACTAATGTTCATCATCAGCAATACAGTAGTTACAATGACACTTCAAATATGAACGCAAAACACAAAAATCAAAACCACTTCTATTTCAGATAATTAGGGACCTATACAAAAATAGCAACGCTAGGTTTAAACTCAGAGAGAAATCACCTAATTTCACAGCTATTGAAGTGGCAATCATATAGCAGCTTATCTATGATACATTCAAGAAAGAAATGATACGACTTATTAATTGCCCAATAAGCTAGACAAAACCTCAGCTGTTTTTTTTGTTTGTTTTGTTGTTGTTTTTTTAAATACAACTTTTTTTTTGTTTTAATTTAACCCCATTCTACAACTACAGTACAACTGAGGTCTATGCAAACAGAATAGCTACCTTGCTCAAGAAATGAATTACAGTCTTTGGTGCTGCACAAGCAACTTCATTTGAAAAGAAAAAGACAAAAAAAACCCACACATGTAACTAGTAAAAACAAACAGAAGAAAAAACAAAAACGCACACACGCAGCATATCTACATATATATAGACTGGTGCTACCGTCTTATATATGTATATATATCCTCCCTGACGGAATGTATAAAATAAGCAGTTGACACCGATAAGCTGTAAGCCTTTAACAAATGGTATAATGTAAAGTGAAAAAGTTAACTTTGTCACACATGCATAAATGAGAGAATTGCACACAATTAACTCACACCTTATCAAGCATCTGTACTAAATAGTCTAGCTCTATAATATATGTCCATATATGTGTGTATATCAAATACTGCATGGTTTGCTCAGGCTTAGAAGATTCCATACTGTGAATTAATTTGCATTTTTTCTTTACCTAATCAAAGCCATGCCCACCACACTTCTAAACATCTAAAAAAAATAAAAACAAAAAACAAAGTGAAAACACTCAAAAACGAAAATACGAAGACGAAAAATAATCAACGACTATTTAGATTGTATTGCAGTTTCAAACAGTACAAATACTGTTAGTAGTAAGAGTTTCACTGAATAGAAAGTGATTATCAAATATTAAGCAATACTCAGTACTTGCACTTTGTACACTAGTTCATTCGGGAACTGGAGAATGAAAAGAATAAAATGAACTGAATGAAACAGCAGGCATTTGCAACAGCAAAGCACGCTGTTCTACTTGAAAGAACAGAGGGAAAAAAATTAACTCACTACACGCTGAAATATACAGACTCCAAAATATAAGCACCGCTATCCGCGATACATCACATCCATGCAGGCTATGCATGGACATATACACATGTGCATATATATACACTCACACATAGGATGCATCGACTGATTGGAATTTCAAGTGCTGCAGTCCAGTACATTAATATTCATGTATATAGTCATATATAAGTAGTAACATTAACAACCTCAAATATGTAAGGCACTATGGCTGGGGACAGTTATACAATGCAGCGAGTCTTGTGACACAAACAATAAGAGCAACGTCTATGCATCTTTCCGTTTACATTTTTGCTCATGCAAGACCACATGCAGCGTGAGGAATAACCCTATTTAATTCGGTTAATTGACTTGACATTGCTAAACACCAAAAGACACCGAAAAGGTACAAATACTTCAAACGCAGTACAACGTACACTGTGGACGACATGTGCATCTGTCAATCTAGAGCTAGAGACTGGGATGGCTTTACAAAGATGAATGTGTCTTGCACACACGTAAGAAGGCAATATAGAAAAATAGCTGGGATCAGGGGTGCAAAGTCTAACTATTCAACAACACCCCAATTATTCACCTGTCTTGAGGAGTATTCGTAGAAGATCCAATGCAAAGATATATCAAATGTGCAAAACACATTAAGTGTGAGTTTAACTATTCATTCATTCTTTCATTCAATCATTCATACGTTACTTCCTTCTTAATTTTTGCCAAATCATCTCTACCATTGGAACTCTTTTTTTTGTTTTGTTTTTTGTTTTTTAAAGCTTGAAGTTCAATTACACTCAAGTCTACATGATTCAAAAAATAGTTTGCTTTCTCTGTGGTTGTGCCATGGTTTTTCAGAAATAAAAACCATGTTGTTTGTGGTTAAAGATATATTTCGCCCTGCTCACTTAGCCCTCAGGTGGTATGAAGGGTACCTGAGCAGCCATGCTCAGATGTAAGGGTACTGGTTTATTTTGGTAGGGCTGAGAGGGAAACTGCCGTA